ATCCCTTAAGATGATGTACATGATGGTACATGTACATGTAATGTGACCACTACCTTCACAATCCATTAAGATGATGTACATGATGGTACATGTACATGTAATGTGACCACTACCTTCACAATCCCTTAAGATGATGTACATGATGGTACATGTACATGTAATGTGACCACTACCTTCACAATCCCTTAAGATGATGTACATGATGGTACATGTACATGTAATGTGACCACGACCTTCACAATCCATTAAGATGATGTACATGATGGTACATGTACATGTTATGTGACCACCTACCTTTACAATCCCTTAAGATGATGTACATGATGGTACATGTACATGTAATGTGACCACTACCTTCACAATCCCTTAAGATGATGTACATGATGGTACATGTACATGTAATGTGACCACTACCTTCACAATCCCTTAAGATGATGTACATGATGGTACATGTACATGTAATGTGACCACTACCTTCACAATCCCTTAAGATGATGTACATGATGGTACATGTACATGTAATGTGACCACTACCTTCACAATCCATTAAGATGATGTACATGATGGTACATGTACATGTAATGTGACCACTACCTTCACAATCCCTTAAGATGATGTACATGATGGTACATGTACATGTAATGTGACCACTACCTTCACAATCCCTTAAGATGATGTACATGATGGTACATGTACATGTAATGTGACCACGACCTTCACAATCCATTAAGATGATGTACATGATGGTACATGTACATGTTATGTGACCACTACCTTCACAATCCCTTAAGATGATGTACATGATGGTACATGTACATGTAATGTGACCACTACCTTCACAATCCCTTAAGATGATGTACATGATGGTACATGTACATGTAATGTGACCACGACCTTCACAATCCATTAAGATGATGTACATGATGGTACATGTACATGTTATGTGACCACCTACCTTTACAATCCCTTAAGATGATGTACATGATGGTACATGTACATGTAATGTGACCACTACCTTCACAATCCCTTAAGATGATGTACATGATGGTACATGTACATGTAATGTGACCACTACCTTCACAATCCCTTAAGATGATGTACATGATGGTACATGTACATGTAATGTGACCACTACCTTCACAATCCCTTAAGATGATGTACATGATGGTACATGTACATGTAATGTGACCACTACCTTCACAATCCATTAAGATGATGTACATGATGGTACATGTACATGTAATGTGACCACTACCTTCACAATCCCTTAAGATGATGTACATGATGGTACATGTACATGTAATGTGACCACTACCTTCACAATCCATTAAGATGATGTACATGATGGTACATGTACATGTAATGTGACCACTACCTTCACAATCCCTTAAGATGATGTACATGATGGTACATGTACATGCAATGCGACCACTACCTTCACAGAACCAGTAACTATTGTGTTAATCATGAAACAACAAATAGGTGACATGTCACACTGATGTCTATAGATTAAAGCGAAAACTATGCTGCTCAAAGGAATTAAAAATAACACCCGATTCTTTCATATTGCAGTACATATGTAACCATAGTTAATGTCATAACTTCTTTTTTATAGAATATTTTGGACTGCCTTGAAAACCGGCAAATGCAGACATCGTGCAATTTCTTGAAAGATAATTGATTCCTTAACTAGTGACCTTGGGAAGAATGTTTTCGGGCAATTTTATGGCGACAAAAGTTATTTTTACCCTTTTGAACCATAGGTATTTAAGTCTGCATAAAAAAAACCCGCCGATATTGACATAGAAGATAAAAGACAAGATCTGTCTCCAGCGTTGTGTAAATGTCAAACATAAGTTAAAACGCATTTACTTGAAACTTGACTCATGCTTGAATCTTTTCCAGCATCATCGATCGTTAGTAACAAACCTGTGATATTCGTCAGAAAACACCATAACAAAGCCAAAAAACAAGTAGATCGGGAATCACTTTATATTGAAGAGGAGTTACTCAGTGGGAAGGTTGGGGCATATGATTAAATAGCAGCAGGTTCCGTGCGTTGTAACAATGAAACAACTATCTCGGCCTGAGTGAGTTTCATCAGTGTTTCAGTTGTATCAATGTGGGTCAGCGTCTTCGGGGGAAGTCAGGACATGGCGGGGTTCGAAGACGTTTGCCACGGTGGAACCACGGTGGAGCGTAACTATCCTCGCCAGACTATGGGGTAAATCATGTACATCAACACACAGCACCAGCTGAGATCACATTGCCATCCACTTTACCAGCTTTTACAAATTTTAAATTTTTTACAAATTTCCTAAAATCAGAGTGTTGCGTCTTTATGACAGATATCTCCAATGCTGGGCTTGATTCAAGGATTCGCTTCAAATTTGTTCCTTTGGGCTTCAGCACCTGACAGATGTGGAAACAGGGCGAGTCGGGATTCGAACCAACAATCATATGTTTCTGGCGTGCCCAAGAGACATAACTGCATTTCCATGCACTTCGATATACATTTATATGCGTTTAACAACAGTAAAGAAAAGTATAGTTTCCAGAGATAACATAAAGTGTATTTACCGACATTGCCTAAGGAGTCAATGCGTAGAAAGAAATCTGATTAATAGTTTACCGTCTTCTTATTTAAGACGATGAGAGATCTATTGCATACTTATGGTCAAAAACTGTTGCTGCCTTCATTCACCGATCATAACTTCCATTAAAACTACCTGAAATGCAATTTCATCTGGTAGAATAGGTCTTTAGCAACCCATTCTTGCCCTAAAAAACGACTATGCTTGTCGTTAAAGGCGACTAACGGGATCGGGTAGTCAGGCTCGCTGACTTGGTTGATGCATGTCATCGATCCCAATTGAGTGGATCGATGCACATGATGTCAATCACTGGATTGTTTGGTCCAGACTCGAATACTTACAGACCGTCGTCATATAGCTGGAATATTGCTGAGTGCGGCGTTAAACAACAAACCAACCAACATGAATTTCGGTAAACAATAATTTTACATGCAATCACAGATCAAGCGTAAAGCGTGCGTCACTTATCAACTATTTTCAGAAAGGCTAAATATAATAATACTACCGCCTACTGGAATAAACATGAGCTTTTGCATTCCGATAGAAAGTTCTGGTTTGACCTGATGCAATAGCCTTTAGCGCCCACCTTATTTTCCTCATCTGGCTTCGCGAGACTTCCATCTGCTCCCAAACATGAAGAAAGCTCTGGCTGAAACACATTTGGACGATGACTTCAAAGCAACTGTGAAGAACCTTTCGGGCAACCAAAAGAAGGGTTTCTGCGAAACGTGTATGACATCCACCCAACATCGTTGGCAAACGTGTTTATGGAAGGGAATTATGTTGAAAATTATGTGAGGCTCAGAATTTATCAATCAATCTTCGTAGATATGATGATTTTATTGTTTATTGTTTATTGATGATTTACATGTTTAGATGTATTGTTTATGGCTACCTACAGTAGGCCGGTATGATTTCCTGCCACTGTATTTGAAGACTGACCACACTCACAAATCTTCAATTATTTGCGAGAGAATTCCTTTATGACCTTCAATTTTTTTACACGTTTACAATGACTTTCACGCATATGAACACTTTTACAATGACTTTCACGCATATTTACATTTTTGCAATGACTTTCACACACATTCACATGGTTGCAATGACTTTCACACATATTTACACGTTTGCACTGATTCGTGAATGCAAGCAAATTATCGAATCTGTTTGGAATTGCTGCTTTCTTGGTAAAGATATAATAATGAGAATGCCCACAGGGTAATGTGACATTTTAAATTTACTGTGGATTCAGTGTTGAGAAACGTAGCCAGGTCCAGAACACTGCACGGTCCAGATAAAACGTCCGCTTTTATTTCGACTACATAGAAGGGATATGCTGATGAGATGATACTCCTTTGTCGTCACGCCTATCTGTTTAATTGTGTGTGATCAATACACCTGAAAGCCATTGCCTTTAGAAGGACATTGCCTGAGGTGCAGATGAGAATGTATTTGTTCGAAGAAATCAAAATCTTTGTAAAGAAACGAACGACAAAAGTCAGCTTCAAGGTTTTGCTTGTGGTACAAATGATAATTTGAACGAGACATTCCCTCTTTAGAATCTAAGTCCAATCTTAAGTTGGTCAGCACCTTTCTCGGGGGATTAATTATCCCACACTGTTGCGTGAAGCTTCTACTCCTTTAGCTTTGAATCTATCTGGGAAAGCGGGCTTCAGCTTTGATTGATATTGATTTGTGACGTTTGAGGATCCAGCATGGCCTCCAAGGATGGGGCAAGTATTTTACATAGAGAAGTTTGAGGATAGCCATGATCTCCGTTACCCATATCAACATCCTCTTGACGAGTCGCCATTGATCTTAGCGTCATATGCACGGGCCGTACGTGTCTGATCACAGCTTAAGGGAACACGCACCAAACTACTGGTATTACATGGTCGTAATATATTTACATGTTCATAGTGTACAATGCATTACATAATTTTAGATTATTTCTCTACAGATAATTTGATCACACTACATGCATTTTTTTATCTGCTACTTTATAGTTCAGATCATGCGATCCATGCAGCGCTCTCTGATAACCAAATATAGAAGTCAACAGGTTTGAAAAAGTCAGTAGATTCGTTCATGTCTTCGTGTCAATTTTTACAAACTGACATCAAGCAGGTATATAAATCGACAAAAACACAATTTCTTCATCCTGCTTGTTTTGCTTTGTTGTCATGTCCCTTCCGTTGATCGTCATCATTAGAGAATACATTACGGAAGCTAGCTTGATGAAAGGGAGATTGAGACATATTGGGGCTGTGATATTTTCCTTTTGAGTGTTAGTTAAGTGTTTGGTCAGTGTGGACCGCCTCCGTTGTCTAGTACATAGAGCATCTGCCCGGGGAGCGGAAGGACGGTAGTTCAATCCCCGGCCGCGTCAAACATGGTACTTGTCGGCTCGGAGTCAGCATACTGTGTCTGAGTGGGGTAATCCATTTAAAGGTATTCAAAGTGTTTATCAACAAGCATAATCCTTTCTGATCACGAACTAGAGCATTGGTGAATAATATGTTATTATCAGCGATGATAAGAAATCATTGTTTGTTTCACAGAAAGGGCAAGGGAGCTGTGTTGTTTCGTCGATATGGCGTTACAATTTCAAAGCTCTTCACATTTGATATAACGCAATGGCCATTAAAGGTTTGAATCAATATACAGTAAAACCTCGTAAACCCTCAAATAAAACGACTAGCGACAGATTATCGTTGTGCAGCTAACTGATATAGGATGTATGTTTCCAGGATGAAATGTACAACATCACAATTTGATGTGAGAATAAAGAGTTGACTGTACCACAAAGGACATTAACTGATTAAAACACAATTGACGGTGTTAATTACACAATAATGACTCATAATGTTAAAACATATGTATTGTGTCTATGGTTTATACAGAAGATGTTTTCAGGAATCTTAATGACATATAAGTGTGAATATGCATGAAAAATGACATCATATAATGTATATCGACATTGGTTTTATGGCTGTCACTTCAAGGAATACCATCATGGATTGTTACTATAAATATTTAACTCATTGCAAATTATTTTTATTTGAACAATTGAAATTGTTTTTGTTATTTCCGAGGCAACATACTGTCTTTGCTGGAGAATGCTGTCTAGATGTCACACTGCTCAATTTGGAATTCATTTTAACATAGTTTAACAAACCACAATCATCTTGATTCTGAGCATGTCTGAATAAAGGACTGTGTTTTCAGGCGATACAATAGCAACTCGTGGCAAATAAACAACTGAAATCAATCCCAAATGCTGCATTTAGAGAGATGAATATAATTGCATGTTATCATGTTCTCAGTTTGACTGATATAATCGAACATTAAAAACGGACAGATATCAAGCATAACTATTTATCACAAAGGAGGATACTTGATAAAAAACACCTGTCAAGTGCAAGGTCGATCTTCTTATCAATTCCAACTCATCTGTAGATGATACTTACCCAGTTAATGTATATTGTCTTGCTGCGCCGAGGTTTGTCTAGCTGTCAACCGATGTTTCAAAGCAGTACATTTCATCTTTCATAATATCATTTGAGGCGAAATTATTCTGAATCATGCATACAGTCAGGAGAGAGCTATAGTATTGCGGTATATGTCTGCAGCGTGGGTCATATGAGACGCCTACATAGCCTTATCTTTGGACAGCAAGGTGCTGTTACGTTTCCGTAGTCTGAGCTCTACTTGGTAATCTGATTTCTGATGTCTGTTTACTGTTTTCAGGGTAACAACACACTATGAACAGAAAAGAATGACGAGAGGTAAGACATTCACCTTGTGTCGAGCAATATACCAGCATCTTCAGCCTTTGGTGTCTACGTTGCAAAGGTTTTGAGACACTATCAATCATGCTCTTTCTTCGAAGAATTCAAAGAGCGTATAGGCCTCTTGTTATATCAAGTGTCTGTTCAAGGGCTTAGTGAAGCTTTCAAAATATTTACGGTAGACATGTGGGGGATATTGTCCAAATGTGACCAAAATTAGGTCCGATGCAATACGGTTTTTCTTATGAATATGGAAGGACTTTTGTCACTTTGATTCTTATATCAGGTTGAAGGAAAACCATATGAACATGTGGTATAAAAATGAATACATGCTGGCACTTCTCATCCAAGCTGTAAGGTGAGCCTAAAAATATTATGAATAAGACGACTGTATCGGCGCCATTATAACACTTAATTTAGTGCAGTTGGGTTTGGTGGATGTTTCAACTATGGTGTCGATGTTAGAGTATTGGTAACGCATTGGTCCCCTCCAAAGCGCCGCAAATCGTTGTGCAGAGTTGCACATCTTGGGCAACTGTGTACACCACTATCCCACACGACACAATTCAGGAAAAACTTCATTTCTTGATCTAAGGATCATTTGACACTAAACTTAGTACCATAGATAAAGTTACATCTCTATCTCTATGATTGAAGACACTTTGACAAAAATGGAAGCAAATGTCATCTGAAGTTTACTGAGAGATGAAGATATGAAATGTAAGACGTACTCCTTGGTCTGTTTCATTATGCATATGCGTCAGATTGTCTTGAATTACCTGAGTTCACATTCCTGTGTGACCCGTGACGATCCGGGGTAGAAAGGTCTCCAGCAACCCATGCTTGCCGTAAAGGCGATTATGCGTGTCGTAACAGGCGACGAACGCGATCGGGTGGTCAGGCTCGCTGACTTGGCTGATGCATGTTATCGTATCCAATATGCGTGGATCGATGCTCATGATGTCAATAACTAGATTGTCTGGTCAAGACTCGATCATTTATAGACCGCCGACATATTGCTGAGTGCGGCGTTAAACAACAAACAAGACATTCCTGTGTTTACTAACTGGGTATTTCCTACTTTGCCTGTGAGAATCTTTGCATTATATTAACTTCCTTGCAGGTATTCAAAATGTGTCAACAGGCTGTTATTTTTATGTTTCCAGAAAGGAACAAGAAATTAAGATGACCTGTGAAACCGCCTCAACTGTCACCCGGCGATGACGTGGTGTCAGAATGGGTCCTCGGTGTGGCCTATGACAGTGTCTGCTCGTCATCGTCGACGCACGGTGTCCGCACTAATGTGTCGCTGGTGAGTCCGAATGGTCTGTCGAGCAGTTTCCGCAGCAGTAACAAAGCGATCTTGAAGATACTGTCGCACAATCTGACGATCCTGACGTCGGGTGGTGACCCTTGGTCTTCCACTACGTGGTCAGTCATCTGTAGTGTTTGTGGTCTGTTACCGTTGCTTGAGCCTGTATACGGTCCTTACGTGCATTGGCTACTTGCCGGGCGGTTTGTCCAACCTGCAATCGTCAAAGGGCTTGGTGTCGCTGATTTCTTGTCAAACTTGGCATGTGGTAGCAAGTCAATAACGAATGAATGTTATCCAATCTGGGTGGATTTTTATAGTGCAAGAAATGGGGGAACGCACGTGCATTTCAATTTGCACGGAACTCACGTGCATCGGGTTACCATGGCCGTTGCGGTGATGCGTTTGGGCGATCGGTTTAATTGTCATCTGCTTTGTTTTTTCATCATCAAATTTCATTTTTCCGGACAAGGAAACTTTAAATTTTATAAACTTTGACAAAAATTACAGATATTTTAATGACAACCTTTCATCCAAAGTGACTTGGGGTGACGTGTCTTTTCCCACAAGACCTCAGTATCTAGTCACAGCTATGTAAATCTGTCAGGACAGGTCCAGACAAGATCACAATGACTCAGTATACGCAGCAGAAAAATACTTTCCGCCCTCTGTCTGGTAGTTTGATGTTTTTCATCTTTATACAAGTACTAATACACACTATTTATGATGCAATATGCTGATGGATAATGTGTGAGAAATTAACGGTATCAATGAAGAAATAATCTAAGAATATCGACTTTAAGGCTCAACGTATACCACAACCATTATTTGAAAGAGATATTTGCTAACGTAATGAAAACCTAATGAACTATTTCTATTCCAAGTCAGATCTCAGTCGATATCTTTCTTCATATTTATTAGTCTACACTGTTGCACGAAACCTCCACTGCCCTAGGGACACATCTGGAAGAGTACACTGTCGTCCTTCTTGATATGTATTGTGCCACTCGTGAACCATTCCGACCAAAAACAAAGGGAAGAGTGAGCGGAGCCATTATCTCGACATCCCTTTTGTCTGGAAATGTCCTCCACATTCCCCCACATGTACGCCCGTCCTGCTTGATATCGATGGTGATACTCGAGAATTTTGACGGTGCCAAATCTGGTGAAAACGGAGGATGTTCAGTGAGTTCGAAGCCACAGTCATGCATTTAAGCCGTGGCAACGACGGACTTGTGCACAAGTGCATTGTCTTGGTTGAGTACATTTAGTGAATTTAGCGACGTTTAGCCTTCATATTGTCGCGCAATTTCCTAAACAGATGAGAATAATATTGACCTTCAATTGTCCACCAGTAGGATTCCTTTGAGAATCAAAGGAAACCGAAGCCATCGCCATGCTAGCTGATGGAACACACTTTATATTCTTTGTAGGGGAAGACGTGAGATGTTTCTACTGCTTTGATTGCAGTTTTTGGCTGATAGTGGTGAACTCAAGATTCATCCATGGTTAAAAATCGCTAACCGAAATCAGCTGGGTCAGTTTCTAAACTACATAAAACCAATTATGTCTATTATTATCAACAGAGAATACCTTGTCACTTAGGTGTCTGCTGAAACTGCCTGATTGACTGTAAACATGAAACGTAAGGTACTTAATATATGCAAATTGCTACGGGAATACTATACAATAGACTCACAACTATTCAGCCACGCCTTGTATATATGAAAGCGATAAAACTATTCAGCCACGCCTTGTATATATGAAAGCGATAAAACTATTCAGCCACGCCTTGTATATATGAAAGCAATAAAACTATTCTGCCACGCCTTGTATATATGAAAGCGATAAAACTATTCAGCAACGCCTTGTATATATGAAAGTGATAAAACTATTCAGCCACGCCTTGTATATATGAAAGCGATAAAACCATGTCCATTATCATAAGAAATCTCCGTCATACGATTCCGACGATTCGGTTTGTTTATGAATATCACTATCAATTATTGACGATGCAGGTGTTAGCGAATGGATGGGCGTATCCTGTCCCATTGGTGGCACCCGACACAAATACATGGAAAAGCAAGTCAAGTGTTCACCTGAACAAACACGGGGGCATATGATACAAGTTAAAATCAGGAATTGCATCGGATATCATCACCCAAAGCAAGGATCGCACGACACCACCCGAAAACCCCACAGAAAAAGCATGCCCGACTGTAAACCCAATGATGCAAAATGCAGACAGCAATGGCCGGAGCCGCTGGAACACTGGCCGACCCAAAGGGGACCCACCGGAAACCCGAAGCCTATCCCTCCTGCCACAAATCCCTGTTTTAGAGAATGACAGATCAAATATAAGAGGGAAAGAGTGAATGCATATAGAAGTGTAGATTGTATAGAATTGTATTTTTGGTAGCCAGGGACATTTGATGAGTCTGTCCTTGCTTCAAGCAACACACCATTGCTGCTGGAAAAGCGACAAATGCCTTTTCTAACAATACTACAAATACATCAATGTTACATTTTGACAAAATTATTATTTCTGAAACAAAAAAGTGAGAAAATAATTTCCTCCCAGGTTTTTATAACAAACACTTTTCAGCTCCTGTTTTTAAAGAAAAAAGTATATGCCTTGAAGCAAAAACCGAGAGAAAACATTTTGTGTCCAACAATAATCAAAGGTAATATTGCAACTGAATTTCGGCCTTGTAGCCTCAGCATATCAAACAAACACATCCCCGAAATATATTTCTGAAAACGGTTGCAGCGACACCGAAGATTGATAAGTAATTTGCTATAGCGTTATAAGAGCAATCTATCTTTCCATGACAATACAACTTTTAATTATTTTGCAGTCAGCTATGGTTATTTGTTTTCTTAGAATAGTGTTCTCATGTCAGTTTAAGCTATTTCTATTTCTTTCTAGTCAATGTGTACGTGATTAATAGATATTCAGGTTTGTAAAATTACAAAACCTACTCCACAACACGATTAGAAAAGTCGACTGACTGAAAAAAGCGACATTGCTGCAATTTGTTTCCTTTGTATTGATTTGGGAGACACCAGTGGGGTATAAATCAACAGAATTACAAGTCTTCCTTCCGAAATGTACTCATGTTGATCTTTGTCATTAGACAAATAGCTAACTGCAGTTCGCTTCGTGCTGGTGACTTGAGACAGGGTATGGCTACTAGCCTGTATTTGAGTGTTTTTGTAGTCTTTATGTCCGCTCCATTCCACACTGTACAGACGCAGTCTCTGGAATACTCGGCGAGTGTTGAGGACATTTGTTTGTTGTACCATGTATTTTCTGTTACATCTCTGATACATTTGACTCGAACTAAACTGATTTATTTGTCCAAACTCGTTGGGATTCCGGGTAAGAATAGAGGCGACTAAATGAATCTGGTTGTTTGGCTCGGTGACTTGATTAATTGCCTGTCATCGGATCCCAATTGCGTGGACAGGTGCGTCAGTCACCGGAATGTCTGGTCCAGACTCGATTATATACATTCCGCCGTCATGTAGATGGGATGTTGCTGAGGGCAGCGCTAAACAACAAACAAACAATAATATGTCCAGCCATCTGATTAATAACGTTATGTCCATATATGGAATAAGCTCTCGTTTTTTTATTGGGTTCGTTAAAGAATATTTTTATTTCCGTGAAAGACCAACAATT